TGTGGGCCCTGCCCCATGGCTGGCCCCACAGCCGCCCCCGTAGAAGGGTCCTATACAGCCTTAGGCACACCTTGCCCCACAGCCAGCCCCACAGGAGATTTCTACATGGGTCTGAGGGGGTCTTGCTCCATGCCTGGCCCCGTGGCAGCCCTGGGGTGGTCCTGCCCAGCCCCAAGCTGGCTCTGCCCCACGGCCAGTCCCATAGGAGGAGTTGACACAGGTCTGAGGGGGTTCTGCCCCATGTTTGGCCCTGTAACGGTCCTGGGGCGGTCCTGCCCTATAGCCAGCCCCATAGAAAGGTCCCATACAGCCCGAGGCACGCTTTGCCCCGTAGCCAGCTCCGTAACTAGCCCCACAGAGATCCTGGGGTGGTCCTACGCAGCCCGAATCGGGCCCTGCCCCACGGCCAGCCCCAGAATCGTGGGATGGTCCTGCTGTGTGCCAGGGAGGTCCTGCTCCACAGCTGGCCCCACGGAGACCCTGGGGTGGCCCCACACGATCCAGAGCTGCTTCTGCCTGTCCTGGCTGCCGCCCCAGTGCTCCTCCTTCCCCAGGGGGAACATGGGTCTCCCCAGCCCCCCAACTGCTCCCCCCTCCACCAGCCCCACGTCTGCCCCCCAGGTACTACGCGGCCGTGGAGGCCAAGAAGGAACGAACCAGCAAACACGCGCAGACCTTCGGAGCCAAGCAGCCCACCATGGGGGGCTCCGGCCCCGGGCAGGTTGGGGGGGGCGTCTGAGGGGCTTTAGGGCAGGCTGGGGGGGCCTGCAGCGGGCCCCCCCTACCCCATTGCAACCCCCCTCACCCCATTGCACCCCCTCCCCAGGACCGGGGGGTCTGGCTGGCGTTGCTGGGGCTGCTGCGGGAGCGGGAGCAGTTGCCGGTCGTTGCCTTCACCTTCTCCCGCAGCCGGTGTGATGAGCACGCCGACACGCTGGGCTCCCTCGACCTGGTCTCCAGCGCCGAGAAGGGCCGGATCCGGCTCTTCTTCCAGCGCTGCATCGCCCGTCTGCGCGGCTCCGACCGCCAGCTGCCGCAGGTGGGGGG